CAAAGCCGAAGTCTTCATTATCAAACCCATGAGAAAAGAGCTGTTCAGTAGAGTCACGGGGTACAACAGGCATCTATTCATCAGAGCTCACTAAGGTAGCACCTTTGGGCTCGTGCATAGGAACAGAACTGGGAGAAGGAGTAGCTTCGTCATCCGAAATGACACGTCTCCTAGCTTGAGGCTTACGAACTAACGAGCCTTTATCACGTTCCTCGTCACCCTCAGAATTGTGTGCTCTATCAGCTTTTCTTTTTGATGAGGAACTCAAGATCATCTCTTGAGCCATCGATAGAGAGAGTCTCGAAGCGGCAATAGATGTGGCACTCACACCTCGAATGGAAAATCCTAGTAAAGAGAGGAGTTAGTAAATTGTTTATGGAAGTAAGTTAGAAAGTATAAGAGAAAGATACCATGAGTCTTCACTTTCCAACCAAACCTATTAGAAAGGTACTTCCAGGACCTTTCTTCCATAGGAGCAACAATTAACAATGTTTCTACCCAACCACGGAAGTTTGGAATCTCCTCAACAGCTTTCATGGTTGCTAAAAAAATAGGAAAAGAAAAACAGTCACGAGATTGCAGGTTCTTCACAAAAAAAAAGAGAGAAGGAACAAATCTGAAAAGAAACTTACGTGCAAAGTTCCACTTTTCTGGAAAAGACATGTTCTCTTCACCCGCTAACCCACTTGTGGGAGCAGCAACAAATCGGGCATACCAACCACGATCCTTGTCATCTTCAGGGCTCACTAAAACTCTCTTACTCCTGGCCACGAGAGTAAAAAACCCAGAACGAAATAACTTGGGGGAATAAAGATGAATCAAATGATAGAAGGTGAAGGGTAAAGAGGCCAAGTTTGACAAGTATCTCAAGCATGCCACAGCTCTCCATACAATAGGGTCAATATGTCCTAAGCAAACGTTGAAAAAATAACAAAATTCTATAATGACTGGGTCGATAGGTGGTCTAAAGCCTAATGTAAAGGGATATGTATAAATAAAAGAATAACCAGCTTTGTATGAAGTGATCCTTTGATTTGCATTAGGGACTAAAATTGGGAAATCAAATTTCCAATGACATTCTTTTCGCACAAGATAAATCAAGCCCTCAGAAATCTGGAAAGGGTAAACATCAGCACGATCATGAGAAGTCATGGAAGTAACTTGATTTCTAATCGATTCTCTATCAGTAAAAAAGGAAAGTTTAACGGGAATAATTTCATCAACAGTGGGTTCATGAAGCGGTTCACTAGACTCCCTATTTCTGGCAGAAGATCTATGAGTTGAAGAAGCTCTAGTTCTAGAAGAAGGAGGCATTGCAACGTTGGGTTAAGAAGTAGAACCACGAACAGATAAAGATCCTAAGCTACGCAACCTACCGCCTCTTCTACTCCTAACAGGAGCAATTGAAGGGGGAAGTTCATCTACAATTACTACTCTGCAAGGATCAGGGTTCGATGAAGACATGGTTGTACTGTAAAATAATATGTGTTGATGTATAAGAACGATTATGGAAGAAGAATACTGTAGATTGAAGGTTTTCGTGAAAGCAAATGCACAAGAGGTATTTATAAGAAGAAGCAACTGTCATGTAAAGGGAGTCATGGTGGAAACGTCATAATGAAACAGTCACTTCGTGACTGACGCGGCCGCAAGAAAGCCCAAAAAACCGCTGAAGAATCGCAGACCCGATCGATAAATGCCACGTGGCACATGCATTAAATGGAAGTGACATACGACGCGTTGGTTCTGAAAAAGACACAATGTGTGCCACTTCCCAAATATTCAATTGCTGAATATTTGGCAAGTGGGGGGACTATCTGTATTAGTAAAAAAATAAATATTACACGCGGAATTATTTGAGGATGACAGGGCAAGATACGTGGATCACTAAGAAGATGACAACTTGAGTGTCGCATTAAAAGATTCACAATTTACAACAGGTACGAGTAAATCACTCACGAGACAAAAGGGTACGGTTGCTCGAGCCTAAATTGCTCAGTGAAGAGAAATAGGCAGGATGAATCAAGACAGTAAAGAGGGAAGATTCATGAACCTCTAATTAATGTGGAAGAAGAATCAGAACCATTACAAAATCTTCATAAACAGTTACGGTTGCCAATTATAACGTTTCATTAATGTCATTAATGCTAATAATGATTCGATCATAAAAGGGAAGAAATGTTATATTTGTAAATCCTATATAAGGGGAGGGAATTTCACTTGTAAAGACAGGCTCTAATTATTATTGGAATATAACTACTTTCTTGTGCTTTCAATTTGTCATTTCTTGTTCTAATTTTCTTTCTTATTTCTGAGAGAATATTGAATTACTTGATTATCAGTAACCCGAATACTTCTAAAAATAGGCTTTGACTGAGAATCAAATTCTTTGGTTAAACACATATAAAAGCAGAATAAAACAACAAGATAGTAAGGTAATCAATAATGAAAGAAAATAACGGTTAGTCATAAAAACCTACTACCAACAGAAAGCGAGACTACGTGCCAATACTATTGTTATGAACACTCTAGACTACCTACTCTACTACCCTAATCCCCGACCTCCATACCTTCCTATCAAGGGTCATGTCCTCGGTTAGCTAAAGTTGCGCCATGTCTTGCCTAATCACCTCTCCCCACCTCTTCTTTGGCCTACCTCTACCTCTCCGTAGGCCCTCCACTATCAACCTCTCACACCTCATCACATGAGCGTATGTGCTACTCCTCCTCACATGACCAAACCACATAATTCCCGCATCTTGTCCCCAATAGGAGCCACACTCACCTTGTCGCGAATAACCTCATTTCTTATCCTATCTAACCTGGTGTGCCCGCACATCCATCTCAACATCCTCATCTCTGCTACCTTTATCTTCTAGACATGACCGATCTTGACTAGCCAACACTCAACCCCATATAATGTCGTTGGTCTGACCACCACTTTGTAGAACTTACCCTTAAGTTTCGGTGGTACCTTTTTGTCACACAAAACACCGGAAGTGAGTCTCCATTTCATCCATCCCGCCCCAATACGATGTGTGACATCTTCATCAATCTCCCCATCCCCCTGAATAATAGACCCAAGGTACTTAAAACTTCCTCTCCTAAGGATGACCTGCGAGTCCAGCCTCACCTCACATTCCCCTCCTTGAGTCTCGCCACTGAACTTACACTCCAAGTATTCCGTCTTGATCCTGCTCAACTTGAAACCTTTAGATTCCAGGGTCTGCCTCCATACCTCTAATTGCGCATTGACACTGTCTCGACTCTCGTGTCTCGTCAGTCAATACAATATCATCTGCAAATAGCATGCACACGGCACCTCCCCTTGAACGTTGCGCGTCAGTACGTCCTTCGCCAGAGCAAATAAAAAAGAGCTAAGCGCCGACCCGTGAGTGGAACGCTTTAGTTCTACTTCTGTTCAGAGTCTACATGTGGTTGAAATACTGGATGAAAACCCCATTAAAGTCGAAGCATTGTGCAAATATGGCATGAATGTGTATTTCACTATCTTTCTTGTAAGGACTTCGAGAATGAAGTGATAAAGAGACGAAAGCTAAACGCTAAGAGTTTTCCTATCAAAGTTGTCGAGATGAAAATGATAATTTGATTTCAATAGATAGTGATACATACCTGCAAAACTACATTATGAGATCTTTGCATTAGGATTATAATATTCTTTTTTGAATCAAATTCTTCCTTTGACTAATTGTAAGTGTTATTTTACCCCAAAAACTGCATTAAAATTATTATTTTAGAAAATCAAGATAAATTAATTGCGTTTTTCAACTTTATTCTTGCTATTAATAGCTCTAAAGTGATTAATAGTACTTACTTTCTCATAGTAGTATTTAAATAGTCAACGAACATGTGGCTAATTTAGTAAAATAAACATTGTACTTAATAATTTTCATTGTACGCACTAAAAATTTACTTAAAATGGACAAAGAAAGTAATTTACTTCTCGAGCATTAACTCCTCAAGTTCATTTAAGTGCCAAGTAATTTCTACTTTGAAATAATTGGCTATTCTGTTCTAACTTTGACCAAGTTTAGAATGTGCGATCACCTTATATGATGAACTTCGCAGAAGTTTATTCTAGGTTTGTCTAGAATTTTGGGTACAATTTCTTTTCTCTAATATTTGGATAAATTTGGTGTATAACTTCATCATTTATAGATTTTAAGTCAAAACAGACTGTATAAAGAATCAGGTAGTAAGCTATCTCATCAAGAGTACGTCACGCCACAACCATTTCATTTTACGGACCGATGCCTGCTGCTTCATTTGGGAGAAAAGAATCATAGATATGCCGGTAATTAGAAGGAAGAACCGCCATAAAAAGATTTCTCGTATATCATCTGTAGCAAAACTATGAACGGGAGCTAGCAATCCGGACCGTATTGAAAAGGTTCCTGAGACACAGCATGGAAAAGTAACAATATTAATAAACGAGGTCCAAGAATGAAATTCGCACGTAAATATTAGGAAATGAAGTTTTTCAAAAGACCTACAATTTCTTGAAATTCACTCAAGTAAATATTTATTATCATTATTTATTTATTTATTTATTTATTTATTTTTGTACAAAACATCTAAGATGAGTTTAAATAGAATGGCACAACCAATAAGAATTTGTCCATGTTTCCTCAATCTGACAATATCCTATTATTTGACAAATATCTTAGGAGTATTAACCATAAATTGTTAGTCTATAGGCTTATTCGCACATTTTCAATATTTCCTTATTTATTTGACAAAAACTAATGAAAAATATAAAGTTTTAGCAGTTTATCCTGGTAGAACTACAAGGATTGCAGTTTTAGTTAGATTTTGCTAATATATTTAATACTCTATTGCAATATTCAAAACTTTAATGTGCGTCTAACCCCACACATAACATGTTGCACTCTTACCGGGAGACTAAAGCCTTGCAAAAAAACATGACTATAGTCTTTTATTCAGCTAAAACAAAGATGGATTGTCATTTGAAGAGCATAGACAATCATTAGAAGCCATTCCAAACTCAAAGTAGTGAGAAGCTCAATTACAATCACTTGTCAAAACAAAGAAACCAGGACCAAAGAATCATTACAATCAAATGGAGGCAGGTAAAAAAAACAATGCCTTGCTATCAAGATAGAGATAAAGAAGAAAAGAGAAGGTGGTGAAAAAAGCCACACAGCAATCAAGACTATAGCATATTCACTACTACAAAACCTATAGATACATCAGAGTCAGTATAATTACAACTTCTCCCGCGAAAATTTATAGTTTCTTAAGATCCAAGAGCCGCTCTATCATCCGGACCAGCTAGCATGATCTACAAATTAAAGTTACGTAAGTCGTTTTTGATAAAGATAACAAGAACAGCAGCTTTTCGCTAGTTGTTTAATGATAAGTCTATGCTTACATTGCAGTCATAGGCAAACCTTCTGGCCAGCATAATAGCTGCATTTCTTTCTCTCTCCGTTTCAAACGCTAATACAAAAGAAAGTCCTGTCTTTACTTGCCAAAATGCTGCCTGAGCTGCAGCATTTCCACCACCTCTGACTCCACATAACTGTGGTAAAAGGGCAATGTTACAAATGAGTTAGGGAAAGAGAGTTGGCAATTGTTTAAATGCTCGCGTATAAATCGCCTATTGTTTATGGACAAGTTTGTGGGCAGTCCTATCCTTTTGCTAGTTATACAACAAGATACTATTGTTCTTTCCGTTATTCTATAAGCTCTCACAACACTATCTCTAATTTACATAATAAAATACATGTTTTCGCCACATTTCCAAGAGCTCAAAAAAGCTTCAAAATACTTGGTTCATCTTCTTTATCCCCAACTTGAAAAAACTCTTTTAAGTATTTCAAAATTCTGATCAGCAATAAGTGGTCACTCAGTTCGATCAATACCTAATGAACGAAATGGCTAGGGAGTAGGCTCCTAAATACCTGCATTGAAGCGGAATAGTATTCTTTTGCTACACTTGTCTTCCCTTTACGAAGTTTCATTCTCATCCTTCCAATGTGTAGTACATGGATACTCTCTGATGTATGATCTGTTCCGTTCATCTGGACGACAACTACCTAGAAGACATCACCAATGAAGATATGCGTTAAAGGAGTTGGAAAAAGACAAATGCAACTACAATGTCAATAGACCAAGATGGAATCCTTCTTATTCTTATTCACATTCTCAGGTTTATGTTCTTTCAGAAATTGGAAAAAGTGTTGATGAATTATGTTATCGCCTTATTTAGAAACTTAAACTATTAAAGGATAACCACTTTTATTTATTTAATATGGCCAAATACACCCCATTCGTATGCAAATACATTTTGTTATTGGGTGGTGGTGAACCTTAAGCATATGACATTTGTCTACTTTGATACCATGTTGAAATGAGCGAAACAAGAGGAGACAATGAAAGAAGGCAATTGGTGGAATAGCCCAAGGCCTAAAAATCCCTTTAGCAGTCTTCACCCCCAACTATATAACTCAACATACTCACGCACATGTAACTTAGTTTTGGTGTTCATGTGGGAATTATAATGTGGACATACAAGCATGAGAACAGACTAACATTGATACAAGTATTTGAATGTGTAATCGCCTCATCTAGACGTTAATCTATTAAAGATTTGGCATTTTTATTTATTTAATTATGTTAACGTGTGCAAACGTGATGTGTCTGTAGGGAGTGCACAACTACAGGGCAGAAGGATGATTTAAATTGGTGAATAGAGAGAACACGCTGAGACGTCTTGGTAAAGACAATGCAGCCACGCGGAAACAATTAGAAGATACATAAAAGTAGGCGGTAAATTAATGAATAAAGAACTCAAGTTTCATTTATTCCTAATAAAAGTGCAAAATTAAATTGAAGGACACATACATTGAATTCAATGTCATGCCTCCGCACCAGAGCTTCAACATAGTTCCCTAAGCCTGCAGCTGTTAAAGGAAAGCCGTGTCAATCATTATAAAGGTATGGAAATATAGAAGTAATTTAAGCTAAGCAAATATCTAATTCAGGCCAACAGCTACTAGAATTGAACAGCACACAGAAAGCACTACATATCGAGACAAACCTGGATCAATAGCACTAGCAGTTGTCACTGATGTTATCTGGTCTCCATATGTTATCTCGGCTTGCAAAACTCGTCCAACGTCAAATGGTTCTGGAGCATAAACCAGTTTGGTGGCCCCTGAACTCAGATAGTTGAACACGTCAGAAATGGACAAAAGTTAATACTACACGTTAAATTGCAATGCAAGAGCACGTGTCACTTTAAAAAATGAGGAAGATACTTCATCAAGAAATATGAGGAACATATTAATAGAGAACCTTTAAGCCAGAGAGAAGAGCCATGAGCGGTTTAATTTTAGCTAAACATGAATATAAGAAGAAAACCATAATAAAGCCAGTAGGAATATTTCAACATGTACAAGCTCTCTAGTGTGAAGAACTGAAGACGGTAGGAAAATTTCAACATGTACAAGCTCTCTAGTGTGAAGAACTGAAAATGGCTATTTGAAAAGCTGTGTAAAAGATCATCCAAAGAAAAACCCATGACAAAAATTCCCTTTATCTTAATGCATGAAGTATCTAGAGAACATTGATTAAGCAGCATAGACAAACAGGGCAATGTAAACTAACTCTCAGCTACCTGAAATAGGTTCTTTTTTTCCGCCTTCACAAGCCAAGCGAAACCACTGAATTGAACATTCTGAAAGTTCTGGAGAAGCCAGAGAACAGGGCTGTATTTGCAAAAACGAGCCCAGGGCTTCTGTGCCATCTAATTCATATAACTGTGATACAGTTTCCTCTCCCATCTTCCTTGCCAGCTGACAAACAAGATGGTATATCAGAACTATTTTACTCTGATATTACAACTTTGCCTAGCATAACTTGAACTCTTACCAAACCCTGTTAGAGAAAATTTTATAAGAGACAATAAGAAAAAGAAATTGAAGTAACATTGTTTTGACTTATTTTCATCGACTGTATTCTCATCAATGTCTTGTGACTTCCAGTGTTTCTTAAAGACGTAGTACTTTCATTTCAGTCAAACTGCTGAAAACTAAGACTGCCCTTGTCTGTGGAACTGAGAATAGTTCCTAGAGCCAACAAATTTATTTATTTTCTTTAATATACACAAGTGCTTCCGTCAGCAACGCTATTCACCATACTCAAAAGTACCCATATATGAACCACATAGCATCTAAAGATACATGCATATACTTTTGAACTAGGTTCTGCAGATACCTCTTTCTGAAGCTGTACTGAATACTTGGCTTTCTCAGCAAGCTGCACTCGCAATGCTTGAAGCTCATGCTCCATGTCCATGACCTGTCAACAATAGCATCATGTATTAGATATGTCGTAACTCGAATTTATTTAGTCATATATTAGAATGTTCTAGATCACCATCAATAGTATAGGATACTCTTTCCAACTCTGTCATAATTACGAATCTTGGTTTTAGTAATTTTCGTTGTTCAATGACTGTCATTATTTCATAAGGTAAGTTTAGTATGTCAAAACTTGCTGAAGACTAAACTCCTAATATAGAGAGCTTCTTGTATATTGTCTACAATAAAACCTCATCCATGTATTTATGAAATGAAAAAAAACTACCAACTCGCACATAAGCAATCTAAGGAAGTTTCCAGTTCAGAACTATTAAAAACATACAACATCGACAAATATTTTGTGCTTTTACTTCCTCTGGCACTGGAAAACTGGGCTTTTAGCAATTTCTGAAAGTAGCACACTTGGTCTTCAATTCTTCCACTGTGGCCGTTTTAGTGTTATTAGCAAAACCATCCTAATTCCTTTAAATGTTATGGTAACCCCGAATTTTAACTTTTCTTTACTTAGAGAGAATTAGAAAATATTGCAAGAGGGTAAGGAGAGGTATTAGCTGGCTGGAGCAGAAAGAAGTTCCCATGGACTAGGAGTGAGTGTGACTTGTGTGAAGTGCGATCAGCGGCGGTTTCTTTCGTCAAGTAAAATAAGTTCATGTTTTCTCAAGTAAATAAAGAAGTTCCACGTTAAAAGTGCCACATTTCTCTCGACTACAGAACATCATTTGGAAGTCTTTTTATTATCTTTGGCTGGGTTTTTTTTTACAATTTGGATAACATAAGGCTAAGCTCCAGACTATAGAAGCTAAAATATGAATGTTGTGTTATCTTGGGGATCAAAGGCACAAAAAGATGATTGAGTATCCGTAAAAGGTCATTTCCTAAGGCTAAGAATTCTCCTTCATATATATGCATATGTCGGCCAGCACATATATTAACCAGATATATGACCAAGAGTAAATAATATAACAAAATAGAGAACAAAGAAACATGTGGGAAATGTTGAATGGAATTAATGCAACATCACAGTAGAATAAGTCAATATGCAGATACCTTACTAGGCTGATGTAGCATTTTGATTCGCCTTGCCTCTTGCACTTCCTTCATTAATTCTTCCATGTCCTAAAATCCACCAAATTATATTAGGTTAGCAATGATCAAGAGACAAAAAGTTGCGGGCTCAAAACAAGCTGCTAATATTAAAGATTTAAAAAAATGTGAACTATAACCAGGGACGACTCAATAAAATTGCCTAAAGCCAAAATCTAATAAGATATAAACTTTTTAATATGTTCATGTATATTTTCATTTAAAGTTCACTCTTCTACGTTTTTGAGATGCAAAGATATAAATTAATCTTTTTAAGAATTAATACCTTCAAAATTTTCTTTTAATGAGATATATAAACAGTTGATTCAAAAAAATCGAGTTAAAATTGGAAGTCGTCATAACCAGGAAAAATGGACTTTATTTATAGGGTGAGATACATGAAGAAAATATTGACTAAGGGAGAAAAGACAATCAGAATGCTAGGAAAACCTGCTTTCCTGAGGCCCCGGACATTCGTTCATACTCCTGAAGAGCCTCTTCCACTCTCTGAACAGCTGCTCTTGCATTCTCAATTTCGGCCCTTGCATAAGCTCTTTCTTCCTCAACAAGTTTCTTAGCATCTTCAGAAGCCTGTGAACAAATTGCGTTTAAGATCATAATCAATAAGGACAACTCATAAAGACGAACATAGTCACTAGTTATCCCTAGAGATTGCTTCTAGATTATGACTTTTTAAGTTACTCGTACAATCTATTTAAAGCACATTAAAGAACTAACTACTTGGTCAATATCTGAAATTGGTAAAATTTAACGACAGAAATGATTTCCTAATAACACCAGTCTACTGTCAAAACAGCAATAGCTACTTTCTAAATAAGACCCTCTTATTAATTATGTCATTTACCATGAAACTATTTACTCAACAGACAGAATAAGCATCCTACAATCCAGGAAGCATAGTAGACTCGATTAAGTTTTATTCAGAGTCCATAATAGGAAATGAAAAACTCATGACCATTTCTCAACACATACTATGTTTTACCTGCTTCAGAAAAGTTGCAAGCTTTTTCACTTCGGTCTTTTCCTGAATCAGTTCTCCTTCCCTCTGACTTAATTGTACTGCTAAAGCTTCAACCTACGAAAAAAATCAAGATGACAAAGATATACTGCTAAAAAGGAGGGTCAGGAGAATTTTTCAACAGCAACTACTGCCAAATACGGGAGATTATTCACACATATTTTATTTTATGAGATTTATGTAGCATAAAAGCATAAGGAAATGCAAACTTGTAGCACTAAACTAAATGTGACAATCATAAATCACATATAAGCAATCATTCAAGCAACTTGATATTTCAGCTCAAAACCTAAAGTCATCAGTAAACTGAGGATGCTGAGAGTCAAAATATGAAAGTGTGGAACTGATCTGCTCTAGTGTCATACATAGTAGTGAGTAATGACAATCTTCATTTTTTATTTTTTTTATTTTTGATAGGTAGTAATGACAGTCTTCATTGCATATATACTCTATTTGTACATAATATTATTTCCAAATATTCTACAAATCACAAGCTATTTTAGCACCGACATGCAAGCATCAATAAGTAGCGTACCCTTTATCCAATGTTACAACTTACATTACGAAGTAGGTTTCAGATTCTCTCCTAGCAGGAATATTTATCTTGCAAAGAAGCATATCACTCAAAAAGGGCATACCGAACTAGTCAAAGAAAGCCTATAAAGGACACAAAACTAACCATTGCAATAGCTTCCTCCACATCATCCTTGTTTTTCCCCGCCACACGTCCTCTCAAATCTTCAAGT